ACTCTGTCGCTTTGCTGATGACCTTTAGATTAAAGGCTGGCCCCTGCCCCACAGGTCAGTAGTTAAGTCGCCTATTCTCTCCTCCTCCTTTCATCATCCAGACTGCAAAGAACAAAAGTCAGATCTGCCTTACTCGCCTTCCTTCAGCCATGGCCATTGCATATCATTCCCTAGCAGCAAAGAAATTTGTGGGAGCCTGTTAGATACTGAGAGATAAGTTACTAGATGTTTCATTAATCATACGCTTCTGAAATACATTGGTCCTGCAGCTTCCACTTCGTACTCAGAGAGAGATGCTGGGATGTACCTTAGTGTCCTATACCAGCGCTGTTTTGCCATTTCATTTGTGGCTTAGGAATCCTGTGAGCTTCCCTCTGCTGTGCTCATTGTACCACCCTCCTCTCTTATTTAGACTCAGTACAACTAACAAGGCTGCTGAGTACGTGCCTCATCACAAAGTCTTCCTCAGAACTCCAGAAAAAAAAACAAGTTTTTTTTTGCAGATCTTGGATATTGCTGTGCAATGTCCAGTGTTAGGCACAGCATATTCACACCAGCGAGGATCTGAGTCCACTGAATCTGAGGCCCAAACCCTGATTGCACACCTGATCTCCCTCTAACCACGGGCTAGCCATCAGCAGAGTTCATGCACAAGACTGCAACATCCTTGCAATGTATTTCTTTCCTTACCCAACCCAAATGTCCGACTTCAATTGTACTCTGTAGGCACAAAGGAAATACTGAGAAAGTGGACATGATTAACACCAGGCTTGTTCCTCATGATGTCTGGGTTACTTTGCAGGAAGCTGTATATTGCACCTCTCCTGGCATCAGTTCTGTTAGGTTCTGTGATGGCTGAGAAGTGGCACTTGTCTCCTAGCACCCAGACCTGAATAAAGTAATCCTCATGTGACTTGAAATGTGGAGCCAAGTTCTTCCATTAATCCTGTTGGACATTCCAATAAGGGATTGTCTCACAGGGATTTCTGCAATCACAAAGGCATGGGAGGACTCTTGATACCCACTGTGCAAGTTAGGAGTACAGTAGGTTGGAGGGAGACATGACTTTTAACTTTGTTTAAACTTTAAATCACGTTTTTTTTTAAAAGGAGACACCAAAGATGCTTCTAGAACATACCACCTTAGCTAATCTTCCTTGCAATATAGACAGCAATATCCTCACCAAAAAAAATGATAAAGGTAAAGAAGGTGTTATTCACACAACTCTACGTAGCACTGCTACTTACAGCTAGAAGAGTCGTTAGGGGTCTTAAGGCTAGGGATGAGGCTTTGAGTAGCTTGAGCTAGTTGGAGATGTCCCTGCTTATGGTGGGGGGCTTGGACTAGATGACCCTTGGAAGTCCCTTCCAGCCCAGACATTCTATGATTCCATGGATATATTTGTTGTTTATGGCCAGGTTTTGCCACTTCTGTGAGACATTTTCAGCCAGTTCCAAATGACTTGGTGTTTCCCTGTGCCACAGGTCCCAGTATCTCACAGCACCATGTGAGTATGGCTATACCATGCCCGCTTCCTGAGGAGGGATTGCCACATGATCCTGAGCATAGTTACTAATTTGATATAGCTGCTGTAAGCACAGGGTCCTCCCTAAACTGGCATTGTCCTGCTTAGTACAAACGTATATTTTGAACCTCAAAACATGCCGGTTTTATGGCTTTTACAAATAATCTCTTGAGACGATACCTTTCTCAGGCATATATTGTGCAGAAATCCCTGTCCTGGTGGATCACAGAGCAGTGTCAGGGCTGTGAGACGCCCAGATAAGCACGAAACTGAAACCAGCCCTCTGTCCCAGTGATCCCCATTTTTAGCTCACAACTTTTGCATCTGTCATTGTAGTGCTTCCTCTCCATTTCCCAGCCTCATATGCAATTGGAGATTAGGTTGTTCCCACCAGGGATTATTCAGAAAGAGCAGTTTTACATCATAAGCTCTCCTCAACTTTGGATGAGGTTTTATATCTGAACACAGACTCCAGTCCAAATCTGTAGGTTGTGTCTATCTGAAGAGCTGCAGATAGCAATAGACTCAAATTAATTCTCTGGGCTGCTTTCTGCTTTTTAAAATGGAGTTGGTTAAAATCTTTTGAATTCTGAATATCTGGAAGACAAACACAACAGTGTTGCACAATGAATTTTATTTACCTATCTTTTTTAAAAGCTGGTCAAAATCTTCCTAGGATGTAGATTGAAACAAAATTCAATTAAATGATATAAGAAACCATAATGGCAAATAATCCCTGTCATTCTTCATCATCTGATAATGCTGTTTCTAACATCAAGACTCTTATGTAAGTGCTGAATAATAGAATGATCCTCTACTGGAAATTGCATTGTAACATTTTTGGTATTCTCTACCAAGCGGTATGCAAATATAAAATGAAATTTTAGAGAAGTTTAAAAAGCGAAGGTTAGTTTCTTAGATAATTTATTTGAAATATATTAGATGTTAAATAACGTCATATAGCACAAAGTGTGATCAGTTACACAGTATTTGTTCATAATCAAATACAGATAAGAAATCCACAAAATACAAAGAAGAAACTTGACTCAAAAAAAAATAAAATAAATCTTTGGTAGATAGATCTTTTGAAATACATGCTGAACATGAGAATAGGAAGCTCATAAATGGAAAGGAGAACAAAGAAATTGCTGATGTGAACCAAAGCAATAACATGAGAGGCTTTTAAGGATAGAAAATATAACAAGTATGCCACATTAAGAAATTGTCAGATGTTCTTTCTCCTTCCCTGGACAATAACTCTGTTCACGAGATGATTTGGCTTGCCTCAATGACACGTGTTTTCTAGGATAATAAGTGTCTGATAGACTGAATAGCATCACCACACCTTGCCAGTAAGTGCTGTGATTTACTTTGAATAATTTGTCCTTCTGTAACTCCTAGCAAGTCAACAGAACGACAGGAGGAGGACTTGGCTCATTACCTTTGAGATCTGTGCAGAAGTCTGGGACTCCATTCAGTTACAAATGATTACAGAGTTCACAAACTGTGCAAAGGATTCGTAGTGTGTTTCTACTCAGCTGCTCTCCAGTGCAGTCCTCAGCCCTGAGAGCTCAGAAATGCAGGGATAAGCAAACTGAAGATTATCAGTGTACGGAAACAAAATGAAATCACTATGAACCCATTCAACTTTCTTCTTATTTTTTTCCTTTTGGCCAAAATCTGACCACTTATATGCCTGTACCTTACAGCACCAGCCCTGTACCTGTGTTTCTGTCAAACTTTGGTCTTTGTGATAGGTAGGAAAGCCCAATACACACCAAGCAGGAACCAGCCATGGCCTCTTTGGTGCATCTGGTGATTGGTGAGGCTTTAAAGGCATCTGAGTTTTGAGTGCCAGATCCCCTTGTGCAGAAGGGCTGTGTGTGTTACACGCACAAACCCTGTCTCTGCTTCCTGAAGGCAGCTCATTGTGTCATGACTCTGTTGCTCTAGGCAGCGTTATAACTTGCATGAGCAGTTATATTGCAGACCTTTGCTGGTGCAGTTTACAACTCAATCAGAAAATCAAACCCATTTGTGGGCAACAACCCACAATGGTCACCTTCATACAACCTCCTATCATCTAAACACCTACAGCATGGTGGCTGGCATCCCCTACAGGGACCTGACCCCCTGAATCAACTGGAAGACACTTAAACCAATTTCCTTGTCCTTGCTGCATCAGCCCGTTTGGGATAGGGTCCAGATGGAGGAATCTCAGCTAAAGCAGGTGAAAGCAGGGGTTTTAATGGTGCTCAGCTGGGTGTGCAGGCAGCATGCCCCTACTCTTGTCCATGGTCTTCGTACCCTACCTGGGTCAGATACCGACGCAACGTGACACAGGCCAGCATCACAGCACCAGGGCTTTACAGGTAACAGCAGCAGGATGCGTGCAGCTCGGTTCTGCCACCCACCGCAGCAAAAGCAGGGCTGGTTCAGGACCCTGATTCCCAACACACAGCCCTGTGCTGAAGGGGCACCACAGTGCACAAGTGGTGCATGGCCAGCACCTTCTGGCAGGTCTAGACATGGTCCAGCTACTTCTGCACCCCACTTTGGGAAGGGGCATTGCTCACTGGTGTTTCCATAAAGCTTTTCACAGTGCATCACTGAGGCCTTTCTACTGGAACTTCCCTTCCAAAACAGGACCTTCCCCATTACTACAGCCTGCTGAAGCTGTTTAGCCACTAAACTATTTGGGGATTTGAAGGCAGCTGGAGCATAGATGATCAGCTTCCTTCACATGCATACTGTCACTACTATGGAGGAGGCTTCCTCTGCCTATTGAACCCACTGAAACTCGCCTATGACTATGTCTTCCCTAATTTTAAATTAAATTTTTTTGCTTTAACCTAATGTTTAATTTTGTTCACTAGAGTTTTGCTATGACACTAGGGATCTCTCCAGTCTGATGAAGAAAGATGTAGTCAGGTCCAAAGGCTAGGTCTTCAATTTTCAAAACAAAGAATCAAGCTGGAACTAATACAGGCTCAAGAGTGACTGCAGTTAGGCCCTGGAACCACTGGTGAAGGGCTGTCACAAATACCACATCTCTGAAAATCTTTCACTGCCAAGGCCAGATGTCTGTCTTGGGCAAATTTTGTGGGGCAGTCATAATTCTTGATCTCAGTAGCATTTCCTTGAAATAGAATTTGGCAAATAATCTCCTTCCCTGCCAGGAACACTGGATTAATTTCTATGGCCTGATTCATGGAGGAGATCAGACCTTTCTCACTTGGACTCTGCTGTTACGGTAGTGAGTCCTTCCCAGTTCCCAGGGGCTGCAAGTTTCTGTCTGGTCTTCCAGGCTGTGGGCTGACCAAGGATTTAATTAGCTGATAAATAAAAATGTAATCCAAATAAAACAGTAATAAATATAAATAAATAATCACAATACATAAAGGAGCAACCCCCAGATTCTGCAAAACGAGGAGGACTATCAGGCTAACACCAAAACTGGATGTCTCCTCATCTGCTAGGAAGATGATGACTCTGACCAACACTCTACTCTATTGCCACTCATGCCAGGAGAGGACACTCCACAGTTTTCTACCAGTGTCAGCTCCTCCATGTTTTGCAGGCATGGGGCTTGCTGGAAGAATCCCAGGATGCTGCCCCGCGCTGCCACTGCCGTCTGCTGCAAGCCTGGCTCTCCCAGGACCTTGACAAGAAAGTTGATGTATCTCATAGCTAACCGGAGTGTCTCGTTCTTGCTCAGTTTCTTGTCTGGCGGGTGGGTGGGAATGAGTTTCCTCAGCTTGGCAAAGGCACTGTTAACATTTTGCTGCCGCCATCGCTCTCTGGTGTTGGTGAAGATCTTCCTTGTCATTCTCAAGGTGCTGCAAAGCAAAGGAGACGGTGAGTGAATGCTGGATACCCCTGGCTTTCACACAGGCTACTGCTCTGGGGGCACTGCAACCTCTGGGCCAGGGGCAAGCACACAGTAATGGTGGTAGACATTTCTAATTTTTGCCCTTCGTGGGTGATACCTTTGTCCTCCATGTCCTGCACAGGTTCACCCTAATCCCTAGAAGTCACATCCCCATTCACAGACATAATCACAAGCATTGCAGCTGCAACTAGATGCCAGAGTCAAGTAAGGACTTCACAAAGGAGTAAATGGAGTTTTGGTGCTGCTATAAGCCCAGTTTCTCCAGGTTCCTTAGAGTTCTCCTGTAATTGAAGCCCCAATAGCCAATGCATTAGCTGTCCTACCGGGATGCATGAGGGACACCTGGGCACTTTTTATGGCCAAAGGCAGCCAGGGCTGGGGCAGAATTAACCCACGCTTTCCCAGCCCCAGTGCACATCTTCCTGGGGTCTGGTCCAAGCTGGGTGACTCATAGCTGGAGCTAAGCCAGGTGGACCTTCATCGTAGGCCTTCAGTGAGCAGACAGCCAACACTACAGACACTCATGATTATAGTTATCTCAGGAGTCTTCTCTGGGGAAACAATAGCCTGGTTCCCTGCCTAGCCCACACTGACTGCTTACTGCTGGTGGCCAAGCCTCTTCAGTCTGATCCATGCAGGCCTCTGCTTTAGCCTCTGAGAGCTGCCAAGGCTAAGCCAGAAGTGCCTTGAGTGCAGGCTGCAGAGGGAAAGTGTGATTCCTACAGAACATGCAGGCATCCCAAACAAATGTAGGGGTCAGCTGTCCACCCTGCCTCACAGAGCTGAGCAGCAGAAGGAACTCGGAGCCAGGAACAAACCTGGCAGCAGAAGCGTGCTGTGCAAGGGCTGCACAGTAATTTTAAATAACATTTACCAGAAAGGCTGTCAAAAGCTCTTGGGGTTGCCCTAACCCTGCTCCCACTGCCACTGGAGAAAGTCTCCCTTCCTCTCCCACAGTCCTGCAGGGGAGACGCAATTCTCCATATTTGAAACTGCTTTTTATGCCAATGGCACACAGACAGTTGGAGCATGGAAAAAGTATCTGCAGCCAAGAGACTAATGGACAAATGTTTCCACTTACCCTCTTAGGCATGTGAAAACATCAGCTTTTTGTATTCATTGGCAATCCCACCCTTACAGCAGTCCCACAGAGGACTGGGGAGCAGGGCAGATAGCACTCTTCACCCCCAGAAAGAGGAAACTTCAGGGTGACTGCCCAGCCATGATCCTCAGTCCATAGGAAGCAGCCTTATCCCATGAAGGACACTCAGGGTTCACAAAAGAACATGGTAAGAGTCCATCCCACTGTGACTCAGAGGTTAACTGGTTTGCCTTTGCCAGAGAACCAAAACCATGCATGGCAGGTGGGGAAGTTCCTTCCCAGCTCCTTTGAGTCCCAGTCTAGCACTGATTACAAATCACTAGGAAAGCACAGGTACAGCATAGTAAATTATGTCAGAGCCACCATGTCATGAGATCTTGGTCAGAGATGCAGCTAATACAGATGCACCCATGAATACTCTAAATGGCTTCACTCAGGCTGCCCATACCTTTCAGGCTCCTCTCAGCTGTAATCTTTACAGAGCGAGCATGTTTCTATTTTGGTAGAAGTCTGAAATTACTGCCAGGCCCAGTTATCTACTCTGCCTTTAGGGGAAGAGAGAATAGTCTCATCAAAATGACCTTGCCTCATGAGAGATTCATTTTAGAAAACAAACCCTTGCACTTCAGGTTGCTGAGAGCTTTTAATAATTTTTGTAGACTTACATTGAGACTCATTGCTTGATGTGAATGGAGATTGTGTATCTCTTTTTTTATTATTATTCCCCCACTCTATGTGTTATTTTCACTTTGAGCTATGGGAACATATCTGCGTGGTACTTTGCACCTGCCTGGAACAGCTGGCATGTACCTTTACAGCAAGAGTGCTGCTGCGTCAGTGATATGGATTTTAAACACTGTCTTCCAGCACTCCTCTATACTGTGTTGCGTTCATTCCTGAAGGCAAAACTTCTGCCTTTACAGTTTTATTCTTCCAAGCAGCTGCTTGGATCCATGTGAAATTCAGAGTGCCACCTGCTTCTCTCTCTCTCTTCTGTTTTTGGTGTTTGTTTTGTTGTTTTGTTTTGTTTTGTTTTCTTTAAGATGAATTTATCCTTGTACAAGGGCAGTTATTTTTTCTAATTTAGGGAAAGTTATTTGGGCTTCCTTGTTTCTGCTAGTGAGTTGAGTGGATTGTATGTTGCTAGGCCTTTCAGTCTTTGTGCTGTAATTCTGATATGTGAGTCTGTGTTTGCTGTTTACATCTCAGATACAAGCACCAATAGAGAGTCTGCTCCGTTTCTTTCTTCTGCCGCAGACAGCCCCCAGCCCAGTACTCCAGGAAAGCAGGTTAGCATTCAGCCCTGACACTGTGAACCTGTCATCTTGTTCTGTTAGCAGTATTATTGTTGGAAAAATAGCCCCAGCTTGCTCCTTCACACCACACTTTTTTTTGTCTCCCTTCTCTTGCCTTTGGAAGGGATAATTCTACATTTGTTGTCACAGGCCTTGTCAGCAAACAGATGCCTTTGTGAAACCAGCTCTTGCTTGGACTTCAAAAATGTGTGGTTTTACTTCTGACATTTATTCAAGATCAGCAAACAACAGCTCCTTCCCTGCCCCCATGACTTCTCTTGTGCTGGTATCTCCACAAGAAGCTTCCTTTCAGGTGTAACCCAGCTCTTTACATCTCTCCACTTTAAATTCCTCTCTCATTTTTCACATTACTGCTGCAGGTTTCCTGTTGTTATGCTCAGTGTTTCAGCTAGGAACGCAAGAGAAAAATGAGCCTCGTCCAACCTTGCAGTAATTGTAATATTTCAGCACAGCTTCTTTTCTCATATCATCACCTACATGTCCCTCAGGTTCTCTGTAACCACAGCACTTTCCAGTTAAAGTGCAGCTAGTTTACTGACAAAGGATCCGATTTCCATTCCTTTTATCTCATCCACTTCTTGCTCTTCCCTCCTTCTCCCCAGCCTTCCTCACCAAGCCTGGCTTTCAATATGATATTACTCACAGCTTCAGGTCTTTGTGAATATTGCACATCTAAGCCATGTATTTCTTAGCTTTCTCTGGGACACTGTAGAAAATATGTATTGTCTAGTGGCTACGTGGGGCTTATATCCCACTCGTCCATTTTGAATCCCTGCTGAAATCACCCATTTGTACATATCATGGATAGGTGAATTGTATTACCTGCAAGCCTGGACACTCTGCTTTCTGGTCACCTTCCCTAATCACAGGTTAGCAGCTTTACATGTACCTGACAATAAAGAAACCCAGGAAGACATCTGCTTAGATTCAAGATGATTAATTCTGCTCTCAGGAATGTAAATTTGGAAGATTACACTGTTTTCACAGGTGGAATTACTTTGCAATTTTGCCACTGAGGGTAGGATTTAACTCACATCAAGAAGACACAGCTAGAAGTGGCAGGTAAGTAAGTGGAATTTCATGACCTAAGATCCACACCTGCAGTGTGTAAAGAGAATTGTGTGAAGAAACAAAGAGGAAAAACAAAACATCAACACTCTCCAACAGATAACTAAAGCTCTTTCTACCCCACTGCTTACTCCTTTGAAAAAAAATCTAGAAATAACGGGGGAAAAAAATCACTGGCTGTGGTTAATGCAGCCCCAAGTGTCACCAGACAAAAGATTAAACAACAGAAAATAGGAAGATCTCTTCTCCCTCGGTAGCAGCAGTTCTCACAGCCTCCCTGTGCAAAAGCCATTCATGCAGCAGCAGCAGCAGAGCAGCTTAGGCACAAAGCACCATCTCTGCTAGGACATTCCCTGGCAAATGGCCCCTGAGCCAGCAGTTAATGTCTGAGGGCTAGCAGGGGACTCTCCAGGAGCCCAGCACTCAGTCATAATTAGCAGGCTGCTATTAAATAAAGATCTTGGATAAGAAAGTTCCTCCCTCAAGTTATACCTTTAACCTCAGTGAAGTTAAATCCATATTGAAACTGGCCACTGGAGATGTACTCCTGCAAATCTTAATCAGACAGCAGATGCCTTCTGCCAGCAAGAATTGTAGTGCTTCTGGTAAGCCTGCAGTGCCACACTGTAACTCCACAGGGGAAACACAGTGTCTGCTAAAACTGGTTATTTAACACATTGCATTGGATTTTGTGAAGTCCCATCAGCCCTTAAGTAAATGGCAACAGAAAAGCAGATGGTGCCTGTTTCCTCTATTAGGCAGGTGCTTGTGAGCCTCATCTTCCACGGGGAGTAAAGATTCCCCAGCTATTGCTCCTCGCTGCTGTGCTTTGTTCACTTTGCACCAGTGTGATCTGGAGGAGAAAGAAGAAGCCCTTTGTTTCCCTCTTCAGTTTCATGAGAGCCTCAGAGCATGGGACTTGGAGATCTCCATGCATGAGAGGAAGATGGAGCATGGATGTCACAAGACATTACACTGCCTATCCATAATGTGTGACTTTTCTTTTTTTCCCCACCCCTTGGGAGGAATGAGCTCAAAGTTTTTGCAGCTCAACCACACTCTGCTGCACAGCTGCTTGGATTGCAAGGACTTCCTTTGAGTTGGGAGGGGAAGTACTAGAAGAGGGGACAATGAGGCTTGCGATAGGAGCAGCACCCCTCCAGCTACAGGCTCTTCCCTCCCAGCTTTGCTCAGGTGCCTCTCTCCATCCTCACTTCCCTGCATCTCAGCACTATACCACTCCCTAAGTGCCTCCCACCTGAAATCCCATAGTTGCACTGAAGGACAAGGACACGGAGAGACACCACAATGCAGTGAGCCAAGCCCTGGGCTGGCAACCAGGGAACTGAATTTCTGTCCTCATTTTTGCTGTTCTTTTGCCTCAGGCAAATTACAGGGATTTGATTGTTTGATTTTCTTTTTTTTTTTCTTTTCCTTTTTTTGCTGCACCTCTG